GCACTTATAACACACACACACACACACACACGATGCTTTTCCTTGAGTCTTGAGATAAAATTATGAAAACCAGATAATATGTTTAAAATTTTAAAGCACAAAAAAATGTGATCTAATAATATAAAGGCAGATTTGAAAGATGCTTTTTAGGATCAGGGTAAATTTTGGCATAGGATACAAATTAAATTATTATTGCAGCAAATGGACTCCAAAACACAAATTTCTGGGAAGAGGAATTAGGAGTAAGCTGCTCGCTTTTTCAAAATCCTAAGGCAGCATAGTTTCTTGATCTCTATTGCTGCTCTTTTGTGAGAAGAGAAAGCCAGGCACACCAGATATATCAGAGCAAATCAGAAAGAAACCAGACTCAAGTCAGGAAGAGTTGCCTAAGGTGGGGAAGTAGATTTCTGCCAAGATGCTCTTAAATTCTGAAGAACTAAAATTTATCTCTAACATATAAAATAGCTAAAGCAATCTAAGTGGTGTTTACTGTATATAAAGGTAGTCAGAACTTTGGTCAGTATGTGTGAGTTGACACTGAAATCTCCTTTCTCACTTTTAACAAATGGATATTTTGGACAAACTATAATACAACACACACACACACACACACACACACACACACACACACAATATGCCCCAGAGCTGAAAATCAAGATGGAATTCAAAGTCAGTGCACTGAGAAAGAGTCAATACTAAGTGACTCTTGGGAAAACTGAGCTAAAGATAGACCTGAGCACCTAGTGGTTGGGCCTTTAAGATTAGTTGTGGGACCTTTGTGTACAGGAACTGGAATAAAGCTATTTTCAAATAGCAGTAAGTCATGTAGGATTTGTCCGTATTCACAGTGGGGACTCAATATACACGATCACTTGTCAGGAAAGTGAAAGGAGACTTGAATACGGAATTCTGGTCAGAATCCTGAATCCTGGTCAGAATCCTGCCCAGTACCCTAGCTGGGCAGTGTATGAGTGCTAAGTTAGCACACACTTCAAACTCATAGCATAGGTCACAAGTTTCAACATTAATAAACCAATTGGTCCCAAATAAGTAAAATGGATAGGACCTTAGCAGAAGCAAATATATAAACTCTCTGAAGAGATGATCCCACTGAAGAGATGATCAGAATTCACAAAGGAAAACAGAATTCACAATTCTTTTTATCATTTCAAATTTCCATGAAACTACAGATACAACAGGTAAAATTTAGAGGCAAATGACCTATTTTCACAAAATGTATTTGCAACCCATGTATGTGACAACAAAGAATGTGTCTAGAATTTACAAAAATATATATTACTACAGATTAATAAAGAAAAAATAAACAAATGGACAAAAAGTATGAATAAGCAATTAACAGGAAGAAAATTGCCTAGTTAACATGAGATTTTCAGTCTCACAAATCCTCAGGAGAATAAAGTTTAAAACATTAATGAGAGAACAAACAGTGAAGGAGGCACAATTGATTATGTTGGTGGACTATGGGTGAGTTGGTGGTGGGTACAGTATAGTGGTATTACCTGATGGGGTATCCAAATATCACCTCCATTAAACATAAATAAAAATAATTTAGAAAACATTAATGAGCTATTTTCCACATTTACTAGATTGGCCAAATTAAAAAAGGATTGTTGTAATATAAGTTGAAAATATTCTTATAAATTTGAAAACACACAAATCTTTCAATAATAACTCCCCTCCTACACATACCCTAGATAACACTATTCACACACAATATGGCAGATATGGACAAGGCAGGTGCAAAAAGAAAACTCAGGTAACTTAAATGTTAAACACAGAGAAGAAAGATAAATGGTAAGCCTGTTCTACAGTGGAACACTACACAGCAGAGTAAAGGAGTGAACTAGGATTTTTGTATAAACAACGGTATAGTTCAAAAATGTAAGGTTGAATGAAGAAGCACATACCATACAATAACACTATATGATATTTTGTTACTTTTAACTTTTTTTTAATGAATACTACCTATTAAAATGTTAAAAAATATATGGCCTGAAAAGACAGAAATAGAATTCATGATCAATATTGCCTTTGGGGAGGTAAGAAGGGAAGTGGTATTGTGGAAGGCCTCGAAAGACATCATCAAATATATTTATAAAATAAAATAAATCTGAAACAAAATTGAAAAAAAACTAACATTTTCATTGCTAGGTGATTGTTAATATGTTTACAACATAAACCTCTGTACTCAAAAAATCTTCTAAATATCAGAAGTTTTTAAAAAAGAAAATAAAATACAATATGTCTTATCCTATACAGTTGCAAGAGTTGACAATGCATTTGGTTTAGAGCTTTAAAAAATGCTTTAATGTCTCCTATGATCTATGTAACTAAAACAACATGTTTCATAGGCATTTCTTGTGTCCCTTGATAGAAAGTGCAGCACAGTGACATCATGCCTACACGCAGTTTAGGAACATGCAAATTTAAAGTCAAAAAATGTATTCTAGGTATGGAGAATTTGATATGTTTTCAAGAGCACTATGGTGGCAATAGATGGGAATACCCAAATATTACATTTAAAAATATAATATAATAGTAAAAATGCATGCCCCAAATATAAACTTGGTACATTTTAAGCTTCTGGAATTCAAAGATTAGATATTTTTAGGAAGTCATATTTTTTTACTTCAGCATGAAAAGCAAAAACACAAATATTACTTCCACTAAAAGTAATCTTAAAAATATACCTCCTTAATGCTCATAGGTATAAAATCAATCTTGCATTCAAACCTGTGGAAAGTGTATTTACGTTTAATTTGCCCATATGATGATGGTGTTAAAATGCTCAGCCTAAGTACTTTCTTGTTTTATGTTGCACTTGGTATAGCCCTTTGATTACCTAGCCATTATCATCGTCTAATTATTCCTTACATTACTATTAGTTTTGCTGCTGTTATTGCTGTTTTGGTGTCAAGCCAAATCTCAAGTTAAATATCAATAGCTGATCTGTTAGCTCAAAAAGTGTTCTCTCCCATCTTTCAAAATATCTTTCTCTTGCTTCCACAAATCTTACAGAATGCAAAGGAAACAGCTAGCAATGTACCTCCATTTTCTCCTGAATAAATATGCCAATTCCCCTACTCAAATTTATTTATTTATTTTTTTTTTTTATAGAGGCATGCTTTATTTATTTGTTTGCTGGTTTGTTTGTTTTGTTTATACATGCACTGGGTACAGTCAGAAGCGCGGGAGGGTGAGAGAATTCACCAGAGCCAGAGCGGGGAGCAGAGCAGGCAGAAGGACCGAAGTACACTGCTGAGGGGAGCAGCGGGCAGCAGGAGAAGTCTGCACGCCATGTGGGACCCTCCTCCGGTGGCCGGGGAGCAGCCGGGGATCGAACCGGCGCCGCAGAGGCCGCGGGCAGCTTCGCAACCCAGCGCTCAACCGCTGCGCCACCGGGGAGGCCCTCCCCTACTCAAATTTAATTTAACAATTAAATGCACATACTCCAATTCTCAATATTTGATTTAGTTAGTATGTGTACTCTTTCACTATCTGTGTAAGCCCATGGAAATTGGAACTTTTTCTCGATCTCTTTATAGGGCACTTAAGATTTCACTACATGTAAACAGATACTTTAAAATACATTGCTTTTCATGGCCATAACAATTCATAGATGGGAAGTGCTATGAAAGCGGCTTAGGTAGACAACAAAACTATAAAGATATATGTTTCCATTATTGCGGTTACATAACAGAAAATAATATCTTCCATAGAGAGGCATAGTTCACATACATTATTTGAAACATGATTGATAATTATGAGTTTCTGACATTTATGCAATTCTTCCTTTTAACTATGAACTCTCTTGAAGGGAACTGGTGAAACTATCCAACTTAGATTCTTAGAAATTAAACTGTGAATTACATCTTCTTAGCTGCTGATTTTGTCAAATGATCATGTAACTTTTACATATGTTGTCTCCACACTACATGACTCTATACCAATTTGCTGAGTTAAGAGCAAAGAACAAGCAAGAATGACAACTGGTATTATAAAAAAAGCAGAAAACCTGGCCTCAGCTTTAAAATTTGAATACCTTTATTCATCCAGAAGTGAATTCTGAACAAAAACTTTTAGACAAGTGTTTCATAAACCCTGTTGGCTGAATAGCAAAGTGTCAACTGTGTTCACAAAAACAAAAAAGTTTGTCCACAAAGAACTATGAATTACTCATTCTCAGCACCTTAAGCAGATTTCCTAAAGACAATATTTCTTGTATCATGCAGATCATTTCCATACAGGTATATAGATTAATGGAGATCCCTTTCATTATGTTACAGAGTTGAACATTCATTGCCTTTTTGTGAACTATTTCCACAGAAGTCAGCAATTCTATAAAAAAAATCTCAAAATCTTCAGCAGAAATGTTTTACTGCAAATTCTATAAACTGTGATGTGTAAACAAAAAAAATGTTTAAATATCCCATACATATTTCAAAAATCTCCCCTCAAATATGTTTTACTTTCCACAGGTTATCAGCAACCATTTTAAATGTATTTGTAAATATTATAATTCATATTTTGAAAATTGGGAAATAAATGTCTGCTCCAAAGTAGAATGATGAATTTGTGTCAAGAAAAAAAAAATTCAGATGTGACTTCTTTAAAGGGCCTTTTTTATGACATCTTTTGACAATCACTTTCTGTACTGTAGTCAACCCAAATGCTATCCCAGAACCTTCTGATCTTTGCCACATCCTTTCTTAGTGTAAGACCTAACAAAAGTCGCACCCCTATCTTTATGTAGATCACCTCTTCTAATCACAAGTATCTGTGCTCATGCAGGTCAATCAAGTTCTCCATGTCCACAAATCTTTGAAACTCGAATAAACTTACACTGACTCCACCAGACCCTTTTGAATCTTTCTGAGAACTGCCTATAAGAATTTCATGCCAAACATTAAGATCAATCAAAGCTCAATCAGGCAAATAAACATTCATTCACACATTCACAGCAACAGCAGATTTCATACTTGTTTTTTCTTCTCTTCTCTTTGCAACAGTTTCTTCTTCTTCCACAATTTCTCTTTCTCCTCTTCCTTTTCTCTTCTTCTGGCAGAAATTTCCATTTCTAGTCTTGCTACCTCTTCCTGGTGGACTCGCCACTGAAGAACCTGAATAAATAGAATTCATTTCAATAACCATGCATGTTCAAGTGATTTCACAGATCTTAAGACTAAGATCTACATCAAGTATATATCAAAGTTTTTCCAGATACAAAATTAAAATTCTTTGTGTGCATGAGTATATGACATGTGTTCAACATGTGCATGTGTGTGTTAGTACTAAAAGGAGTAAGCAACTTTAAAATTGCCTCATTCTGAGATTCTTTATTTGAATTTAAGGATATCCTGGATTGTTTGTAAATTGACTTCAGAGTCTATGATTCCCATAAATAGTATAAAAATTTCTGCTCTTTTACACATGTGTGCTTTGTGGAAAATAGTTCAGTAGATTTTTAAAATTCTTTAATGGTGCTAAGATCCTAAAGGCTTAAGAACCACTGATATACTTTATCACTTATTTTGTAAGTGAAGAAAACGAGCTTCAATGAAGAAAAAAAATTAAGATATTTGCAAGAACTTTCTGGGTACAGGTATGCTTTACTGATAGAAGTAGAACTGATACACCTTCTCTGAAGGTACTGAGCAATATGTAAGTATGCATCACAATAGAAGAAATGCATAACCTTTGTGCCACAAACCCACTTCAGGGAAATTATTCAAAGAAGACAATCTATTGAACAAGTACACAATATTTGTTCACAGCTATATTCAATGCAGGGCTGATTAAACAAAAAAATGGAGAGACTAAATGTCTGACAACAGGCAATGGCTAAAAGTAATTATGGTACCTTCACACAATGACTACCATTGAAAAAGGATGCTAATAGCTATATTCATTAACATAAAAATGTCCCACAACATACTATTAAGTGCAAAAAACAGGTGCAAAACCACATTAATATTATGGCATTATTTATATAAAATCTCAACTATATATCTATGCATAGAAAGAGATTTAGAAGGGGGTTTACCAAAGTAACAATACTGGCTATCTATGAATAGCATCATTTCACAGAATTTTAAAAATTTCACTCTTTAAACCTTTCTGTGCAAGTGATATTTTTACAACAAATATGCATTATCTTTGTATACAGGAAACCAATGAAAATAACAAAATAATAACAACCACGTAATGTATTCTGTGTATACATGTAGTTAAGGAAGCAGAGAGGAGGGAGACAGGTAGGCAGAATTCCTAAAAAAGGACAAAACTAGATTTGTCAATTAATTACTGCATACTGTATGTGTTTGCTACAGGCATGACTCATTAATGATAATATATAAAATGAAAAATTTAATAAAATATCCTACAATTAGTCTCAATGTCCACCTTACACAAAGCAATATATTGATTCAATGAAATCCCTATCAAAATTTCAATGGAATTCAAAAAATGAGCAAATATTATAGAAATTTACATGGAATGAATAAAAGATCCCAAATAGTCAGCGCAATAATAAAAATTTTAAAAAGTAAAAGTCAGGTGTCTTGTCAAGAGTTGCTGGTGATGTCCCTCCAAAATACCCAGAGGAGAGTTTTCTCAATTTCTTTTTCTTTAACCTCAAGGTAGTACTTGGCTCTGTTGACCATCTCTTCATGTTTAAAACTTGTTCCTCTCTAGGCCATTACATTGCAATCCCTTCTTTTCCGCCATGGATATTACTTCTTCTTTCTGCTTCCCTTGTCCATCTTACATCCCAACTCTGCTGCTATCCTCTCTTTGACCACCAGTAGCTCTGTGTTCATTATTTGATGTGTTCCTCCTTCCCTATGGGTTTACCTAGCACATCTATGTGTCTGTCTAACTTTAAAGTGTGCACTAGGCCATTTCACTGTCGTTTCTAATCCACCCAGTCTATCAGCCAAACGTATCTAGAATAATATCAGAAACTTGACAGGGATAATATCAATTTCTCAAAACAGGACCTAAATAATGTAGCTTTCTCACGCCTACCCTATGGCCCACTTTAACCTAGCTCATATACAATTTCCACAGCCCTTCTTGTTCTTAACCTCATGGAATGGTACAAACTATTCCCCCACCTAGAAACTTTAGTTTCTTTCTATTTCTTTTCTTATTTATTTACAATTTTATATATATTTTACATCATTTTTCTTGGTCAAGCACATGACCAATGATTTCATAAAACACTCTCCAATCCATGCTTACCTCACTTTTCATACTTTTTTCTTTTTTTTTTTTTTAAAGATTTATTTATTTATGCATACAAGATCTGGGGTACAGGCCAGAGATGCAGGGTGTGAGAGGATTCACCAGAGACAGAATACGGAGCAGAGCAGGCAGACTGACTGAAATACACTGCTGATGGGAGCAGCAGGCGAGACAGGAGAGGTCTACTGCGCCATGTGGGTATCTTCCTGGCTGGGGATCAAACTCGTGCTGCAGTGGCTGTGGATTGCTTCACAGTGAGGTGCTTAACCCCTTGTGCCACCAAGGAGGCCCTCACTTTTCATATTTCAGTTACCAGACCATAACTAATCTCTGAATATCCTGAGCACATTGTTTCTATTTCCATTTAGTGCAGGGCCCATGATGTGTATGTATTTTGTGTTCTTATATTTTCTAGCAAAGTGCTAACACATCATAGGTGGCCAGTAATTACTTCCCTTTTACTTTACCAAAACGAACATTTTTATTTTTTTAATTTTTAATATATTTAAAATTTATTTTTTATTTATTTATGCATATAAGAAATGGGGTGCAGGAGGGGCAGAGGTGCAGGGGCCAGGGGACTTGGTGAGAGGATTCACCAGAGATAGAGTGGGGAGAAGAACAGGCAGATTGACTGAAATATACTGCTGAGGGGAGCAGTGGGTGAGACAGGAGAGGTCTGCTGTGCCATGTGGGTTAGCTCCCTAGCTGGGGATTGAACTCGCACTACAGTGGTTGCCAATAGCTTCACAGTGCTGAGACTTAACCTCTTGTACCACCAGGGTGGGGCCCTAATTTTTAATATTTTTATTTATCTTTTTTACATCATCATTCATTTTTGTACAATGTTTGATTTCTCCCTCAAATCACCATAAAATTCCCAGTTCCAAATTGCACATGAACTGTCACCATAGTGTTTTGTGCCAAAATGAGCATTTTTATTTTTATTTATTTATTTATTTTTTTAAATAATAGATTTTATTTTTATATTCCCCATACAATTGCAACCCCCCCATTTTGACCCCAATCCCTCCCCTCCCACCCCCCACCCCCCAAAAAGTGTCTCTGGTTCATAGTTTTTGTTGATTTTGATTTTCACTTTCTTATAGTTATTCATTTTCTTGGTCCCTTATTTAAGTTTTCTAGATTCCTGCTATGAGTGAGACCATCCGGTATTTTTCTTCTTCTTTCTGGCTTATTTCGCTGAGCATGATCCCTTCCAGCGCCATCCATGTTGCTGCAAATTGCATGTGTTTATCTTTTTTGAATGCTGAATAATATTCCATGGTGTATATGTGTCACATCTTCTTGATCCAGTCATCTATTTTTGGGCATTTGGGCTGTTTCCAAAGCTTAGCTATTGTAAACAGTGCTGCTATAAACATAGGGGTGCAGGTGTTCTTTGGAATTGATGTTTCTGTGTCCTTTGGGTAAATACCTAGGAATGGAATTGCTGGATCATATGGAAGCTCTATGTTTAGTAGGTCCAGAAATCTCCACACAGCTCTCCATATTGGTTGGACCAGTTTGCACTCCCACCAGCAGTGCAGAAGAGTTCCTTTTTCTCCACACCCTCACCAACATTTGTTGTTGCTAGTTTTTTTAATATGTGCCATTCTCACTGGTGTAAGATGGTATCTCATGGTAGTTTTGATTTGCATTTCCCTGATGACAAGTGATGTTGAACATTTTTTCATATGTCTGTTGGCCATTTGCATTTTCTCTTCAGAGAAGTTTCTTTTTAGCTCTTCTGCCCATTTTTTGACTGGATTATTTTCTTTGTTGTTGAGTCTCATCAGCTCTTTGCAGATTTTTGTGATCAGTCCTTTGTCATTAGTGTTGGGTGCAAAAATGTTCTCCCAGTTGGTGGGGTTTCTCTTTGTTTTTGTTATTGTCTCTTTTGCTGTGCAGAAGCTCTTTAATTTGATGTAGTCCCAGCTGTTTATCTTTGCCTTCACTATCACTGCTTTGGGTCTTTAAAGATGTCTTTGATGTGAATATCACGTAGTGTTTCGCCTATATTTCCTTCTATGTATTTTATGGTTTCAGGTCTTATGTCTAGTTCTTTTTTTTTTTTTTTATAGAGGCTTTTTTTTTTATTTATTTGTTTTTTTTTTGTTTGTTTGTTTATACATGCACTGGGTACAGTCAGAAGCGCGGGAGGGTGAGAGAATTCACCAGAGCCAGAGCGGGGAGCAGAGCAGGCAGAAGGACCGAAGTACACTGCTGAGGAGAGCAGCGGGCGGCAGGAGAGGTCTGCGCACCATGTGGGACCCTCCTCCGGTGGCCGGGGAGCAGCCGGGGATCGAACCTGCGCTGCAGAGGCTGCGGGCAGCTTCGCAACCCAGCGCTCAACCGCTGCGCCACCGGGGAGGCCCCTTATGTCTAGTTCTTTAATCCATTTTGAGTTGATTTTTGTGTATGGTGTGAGGTAGTGGTCAAGCTTCATTCTTTTGCATGTAGCGACCCAGTTTTCCCAGCACCATTTATTGAACAAACTTTCTTTGCCAAAATGAGCATTTTTAAATGAAATATAATAAATGGAGAAATGATAGCATTATTGATAGAATATACCAATTTGCAGCAACTAATGAAATAACAGGACATCTCTCATGATCATTAATGGATCCAAAAATCTTTATCCTAGCAGCTGGTGGGAAACATTATAAAGAATGAATCAGGGGGCCCTCCCTGGTTGTGCAAGGGGGTTAAGCACTGCACTATGAAGCAATCTGCAGCCTCTGCAGCACGAGTTCAATACTTGCCGGGCAGGGAGCTACTCACATGGTGCAGCAGACCTCTCCTGACTTGCCCACTGCTCCCCTCAGAAGTGTATTTCAGTCAGTCTGCCTATTCTGTTCCCCACTCTGTCTCT